CAAGTTGTGCAACGAGAGAGACAGAGACAAAGACGGGGGGGGGAGCAGAGGGACAGAGAGAGAGAGAGAGAGATTGGAAAATAGGAAAGAGCCACTTCCTATGCTGTACAAATTTCCATCTAGGCTGTGCGCAAACATGTTTATAGACGATTCCCGCTAATAAACGCGTCACTCCTAAAAGTGTTTGTAAATACGCGATTCTAATGAATGCCGGTAAACAATTGCTATCTCCGCGAACGTACAGTCTTTGCGCAAAGGCGAACGTACGTTACCGGGGAAAACTGCGCACGTAGCCGATAAAAATCTTTTTCTCAGAAACGTTTTTATTTACGCGCGGCGATAAGTGGAAGTAAATTTGTGCAATTGTCACGCGGAGAGATAAATTTGGGGGGGGGGGAGGGAGGAGGAGAGGGAAAAAATAAACGCGAACGTTAAAGAAAGAGAGCGGGAGATATGCAACGCGCGCGTTTCAGTGGCGGTCGAGTGTCTTCTCGCGCGGTACAAAAGGCGGCGGGCGAGTGACTCATGGAAGAAAAACCTTACACGGTCCTCGGTCGCACTTGTTATCGTCGTTACTCATACCCCGCGATACAGTCAGTCTTTGTCGCTATTTTCGTCCCTATCCGCGGCGCAACGAAGACCCCGCGCGTCCAGCTCTATCGACGATTTACTGAATGCGCGTCGGTCCCGACCTCGCCGCGGCTACGCGCGAGTCATTCGCGAGGAGAAGATGTTACGTATTGTCTCGAGAAGCTACTTAATCCCGATAACGGCGTCTATTTGTCCCCGCGGAGATAAAAGGTGCGCAAACAGGAGAGACGTCGCGGGCTACCGATTGTCGATCACACCTCCCTCCCCCTCGCCGTTGCAAAAACTATCGCGGCACGACGGTATCGTCCACGCTTTCAAATGAAACGTTTCGTATATCTTTATGTCTCTTCGGTTTTACGCGGACCGATAAAAAGCCGAACGAATGTGCGTATTGTTGTAACGAATGTCCTGCGCGACAAAAACCGGTCGACGAACGCGATCGTCTAAAAACGTGTTTGCTCCACGCTTTATTCTTATACACGCAAGAAAAAAAGAGACAAATGGAGTTGCAGGGGAGAAAAAAAGATTTACGAGAACATCAAATTTGTGGAACTATCTCAAGCGACACAAAGGATAAATAGGATGCTCGGAGAACCTGCTCACGCGTGTTTAAGAACAAAGCGTCGTGCGATTTCATGCAAAACTGCCCGGCACAAAGACGTCCTTCGACCTGTCTAATAGAATTACCGTAATCATATCAAAATTGTAAAATTACCGTCCTGGAAATTTCTGCTGAGAAAAGTTCTATTCCAATCGAGACGAGAAACTGCCCGGGATCGTAGTCGCTTCTCTGAGAACGTGGAAAAAAAAATTGATTCAACTCTAAGATTGAATTCATCAAGCTAGAAAATTGGGTCGGGCAACTGCTGCACTGAATCCTTGAAAAATCATCTCTCTAATCGTGCTCGTTCTTCTTCCTCCGCAAATATCCGCGACATTGTGCGTGGATATCGCAATCTCGCGGAAACAATGTCGCGGATTTTATCGCACTTTCCGATATCTCTTGGGAAATCGAGAGCGCGAGAAAAAAAAGTATTTCAATAATTATCTATTGTAACGCGGAGAGAGATGCGACGCGAGTGTCATCGAAATTCACGTCAACTTGACGCATGAATAGTTCGTGTCGTATTTGCATGTAAATTGTCTTTAGTCGCAACTCGTCCGTATAATTCAAACGTCTATGCACAACACGAAGATGTTACAACATACACGGCAGTCTTTCGATCTGACTCTCTTTTTCCTGCGCCCGCATGGACATTTCCTTTCATTTTACGCAGTTACAAGAATCGATTTAAATGAACGTCACTGCATGAATTATTACGGATGGACCTATCTTCAAAATAGTACAAAGTCAGTCAAAATTTGTGAAATTGTTCTTTCAGTCTTCCTAATGTACTGCAGAAAGGTAAAAAACTAAACGGTTGCCGAGATATAACTATTTAAATTTACACTGATTTTACACGTACTCTTATGGAAAGAGCCGATCTTCACGGATAAAACAGCTAAAAAAGTGTAGAAGAAATAATACCAGTGTTTTGAATTTTTTTATACATCTAGTATACGAATAGATGAAAATATCTACCAAGTTTCAATAATTTTTACTACACCGTTTTAAAGAAATAAAATATAACTTGAGATATTCGTGCGGTCGGCACGATATGCATTTTGAAATCACATTTGTTTACCAGCACTGCTGAATAGTGTTTTTAGTTTTGAAAATATTTGACGTTATTAAGTTGAAATCAGGGTATTTTCACTATCAAAAGTTTAGGCTCATAAGTGAAAAAAATCGCAAATAATGCAGGAAAAAACATTTGTAAAGTGAAAAATACCTTTATAGGAGTACAAATAAGACTCCAACTATCGTTCAAGTTTCTTGTACGTCCAATACATCCTTAATTTATCTCGCTGAACTTTTTGCGAGTTTAAACACGAATAAACAATTATATTTAGCTTAAAATGGATGTAAAAATTTCAAGGGGTAAACCACTGACCAAAAATATGTACACCAATGCCTACTAATGCCCAGTGGACATTACTTTATCTTATTTTATCTTGTTTTGTCTTTTGCGATTCTTTATAATGCCTCAGCGAGGCCAAATAACACCCACTGATACCCAAAAATGCCTAGCGATGCCCGAAATCTGTACACCACAATGCCCTCAGCGATTGTACACGCCTCGAAAAATGTTTAATGATAATTCGAGATAAAATGGTAAATTTCGAGGAACTGAGCATTGCGCGAAAAAAATAGCTCAGCTAAATTGTGCGCGCGTAACATCCTCCGGCTTACGAGTATTGTTAAATATCGCGTGCACTGTCGAACGGGCGATTTAGAGCCCGGCTTGCGCAATGTCAAAGATGATCGTTGCGACCGAGAGAGCAAACTAGAGCCGTGCCTCTGGGCACGGCGTGCCGTGACGCGCGATTTTCGTTCGTCCCCAAGTAACTGGGACACGGGTGAAAGGTGGGATGAGAATGCAGCGACGTCGCTGGGCTCTGTGCCGACCGGTACACGTGGTAATTCGCGGTGGCTCACGGCTGCAAGGGGCACGGGCGCTAATGGAGTCAGTGATCCGAAGACCTTGTACACGAGGAAACCGTCCGTTCGATAAAACCAGTTGCGCGTCGCTCCTATAGGCGAATCCGCGCGTGTGTCGGAGGGGCTCGGTGTCAGTCGATATCATTCCCGGCGGCGCATCATCTTTTATCGTCCGACGCCCAGGCTTCGATGAAAATCGTTCGCATCGTCGAAACGCGAGAGCCTCGACTTCCTCCCCCGCGTCGTATACAAATTTCGCGCTTCGGAAATCATTTTCTCTCTTTGATACTCTGCTTTCAGAAATACTATCAACTCTCTAAAAATCAATCTGTGGATTATCACTGAAAACGGCGAACTGATTTACAGTTATAAGTATACCACTGCAATTTCCAGCACCAGGCTAACGAGATGCACCTCGAGGCAAAGAACAGTAGGCGAGTTTTATCGCTGAATTGACTTCTTGTCTTTTTTTTAAGTTTTGGTTGATACTATCGTTGAGTCTCTTTAAACCTGATCTGCAATGTGCTCTTTGTTTCTAGAAACGGTCTATTTTACATAAGCAAACGCTTAAAAAATTTGTTGACAATGTATCTCCCGAAAGATCAATCAGTGGATTATCACTGAAAACAGTCACTGATTTATAGTTATAAGTATACAACTGAAAATCGCAGTGGTATATTTATAACTGTAAATCAGTGACTATTCACCATTTTCAGTGATAATCCACTGATTGATTTTCAGAGAGAACGTAAATGGTTGACGAATATTCATTCGTTTAAATTCGTGATGGGTGTGTGAGAGAGAGAGAAAGAGAGAAAGTATGTAAATTATTCATTTATATCGCGTTCGCACGAGGCATGATTTCAAATCAAAGCCGAGATATGTATAATAAATCGTTCCCAGCGCGACTATAATCTTCAAATTGGACTTCGCCAACTTTGCGCGACAGTTGAAGCTTTGTCCTCGTTTCGAGTATAACGTTCGACGTTTATTTACTTTATTTGAAACAAAGTGTATCAAAGATAAAAGTGTGATACGCAACGAGTGTCGGTGACAGACGAGGGAAATCCCGATCGCGATCGCGACACGCTTTCCAGAACGGTTCGATCGATCCCGCGGCACTTCCGGTAGTTGCGAGCGTGTAAAGCTAGCGCCACACACAATTCGTGATTCGCAGAAATTTGTTGGACATAATTCGTTGTTACTTACCACATTATTCGTGATTCGCAGTTTATCATTCGCAAATTTGTTATTTGTCGTTTCGCTCGTGTTAACTTGGACAGCTTTTAACCTTTACCCGTTATCACAGGACTATAAGTCTACAATTAGTCAAGTTTCAATATTAGTCAAAAGACCGCTCGGCTACCGAATCACTGCAAATGGCAAATTGCGCACGGCGAATCGACGAATTTTTCCTCCACACTAGTCACGAATACAGAGTGTTCCGCAGTGCTCTGACCGCCGTTCACGAGAAGGTAGAGGGGACCAAGACAAACAGAAAAATCCTCTACCATTTTGCAATTGAAGCAGTAGTTGTCGAGAGATATTGATCATCAAAAAATCGCCGTATTAGCCCGATCTACTGCCAATTGGCTATATAACTATTGCTCCAATTGCAAAACGGTAGAGGATTTTTCTGTTTGTCTTGGTCCCCTCTAGCTTCTCGTAAACGGTGGTCAGAGCACTGTGGAACATCCTGTATACGAGTCACGAATCGCGCATAGCGTGGCGCTAGCTTAACGCGCGACACGACGAGGATGAGCGTGCACACACGTGCCTTCCTACGGTCGTGAACAAACGGCGCACACGTGCTGTCTTATAGCCAAGTCGGCGCGGATCGGTGAAGAATCGATTGCATGAAACTGACCTTGTTGCAGCCATAATTTATATAGACCCCTTTGAGTTCATCTTCGGTCGAGAGTTCCGTGTTCGGGCTGTTCGGCGGGCTCTTCGGACTGCAAAATTCAAGGAAACGACACGTTACGTTCCATAAACGTTTGCGGATCATGCGAGCGGTGACTTGTCGCGAGATCCTCCGATGGAGATCACGCTGATGCTCACGCTCGCTTATTCAACCGACGTCACTCAATATTTATCTTTCGCTGCGATTTACTTTATCTAACAATAAAACTACGATGATTGCGCGCGCGCTCTTTTTATGGACGCTCGAAACGTTGAGTAAATCAAATATTTGGTAAAAATGTGTTTTAACGGTTTTTTTTCCATAAAACACTCCGAATAACATAGTTGGAATCAATCGGCATTGATTGTAAGTAAATACGTTAAAACAAAGGTAAAATGTCTCATATTGACTCAAGGGATGAAGGTAGCTCGTGCACGAAGAAGCGTATAGGTGCTTTGGGGCTAAAGGCCATTATACAATTGCGTAAACGTAGTTGTAGGGTTGTAGGAGTAGAAGTAGTAGTAAGTGTTGTACATCAAAGTAATATACAATAGAGTGAGATACGTCGTAATTGAAATGAATGATTGGTTAGCTTTTACGTCCTACATCGTTGTAGTCGTGAAAGATCAAGTTCAGCCATCTTTTACAACAGGCTTTACAATCGGAAATGCTAGTTTAAAACTGTGTTTTACAACACTGTACAACCGCTAACAACCACGTTTACGCAATTGTAGAATAGCCTTTATGCATCGTCTACAAATGCGTGGAGTAAGCCTGGAGTAAGGAGTAGGAGTAAGGAAATAAATCAATTTTATTTCTTAAGGCCATTCTACAATTGCGTGAACGTGGTTGTCAGCGGTTGCACAGTGTTGTAAAACACAGTTGTACAACACAATTAGCATTCCGATTGTAAAGCCTGTTGTAAAAGATGGCTGAACTTCATCTTTCACGACTACAACGACATAGGACGTAAAAATTAACCAATCATTCACTTCAATTATGTTACTTTGATATACAACACTTACTACTACTTCTACTCCTACAACCCTACAACTACGTTTACGCAATTGTAGAATGGCCTTAAAGGACCGCCTACATTGGAAGTAAGCAGCAAGAATTAAGAAAACCTTTACTTATCAGTGCAAAGGCTAAAGTACAGGCATAATTATAAAAAATATTTATAGCACTGGCCGAAGTGCGCTCTAATTCGCCGAGAGTAAGCGTCAGAGCTGAAGCAGAAGTAAGAAATAGAAATGATTAATTTCTTTACTCCTACTCTTACGTCTTACGCCAGGCTTACTTCATCTATTGTAGACGATCCTTAAAACTCCATTGCGACTACATACTCCAATTTCAATTTGTCTACTTTTTCTGTTTATGCAGGAGCCCACCTTAATCCGAATCACAAACGGCTGACTAAATCTTGAAATTTACGCGCGAAAAATCTGATAGAAAATATACGTATTATTTTTATTATATAATTTCTGGTCACTTAATTTTCTCCGCACATTCTCCTATCGATTGACTTGCGCACGAATCTGTCGAAACGTGTGTCAAATCGCTTATTACCGATTCGTTCCGGTTCGGGCGATAAGGCGACGCGCGAAAAGTCGCCGGCGATAATATGTCGTCTTGGAAGTTCGCGAGCTGCCGCGCATTATGCGTAATCCGTCGGTGCGTCGCAAACCTTGATCCGAGCCGACGACAGTGCGGTTATCTTCGCACCGTCGCGTCGCTATCACGGCAGAAGAGCGACGCTATCGCGATCGCATCGGTGCATCTCGGTGGAGAGTTCAGAGCGATAAGCGCATTTACTATCAAGTGCACGCATGTTACACGTTATCGCCTCTCCTACTTTAATTTTCCTCTCTTCGATTAGCACGCGCGATGTTTGACTTTGCAATCATCGGAATACGGTGATTAATATCCTACGCTCTTTCGCCTTCGATGACACATTTTACGTAATCTGATGTAGTTTATTATTAAGTGCCGTATAAGGACACTGATTGATTAAAAACGGATAGCCCTGAGCTCCTAAGAAAAGTAATGTTTCTGCCTGGATCACATATACGCAGTAATCCACGCACACACGATTTTAACAATTTGCCAGAAATATTGATAATAAAAAATCTACGGTTATGCACATATGTATTATTTTCCGTTTGGCGGTGAATTTATATTTCCGCTCGTGCCAGACAATACCCGTGAGCTAAAAGAAATAGGTTATCGCGCTCGATGCAAATTATACATGAAATATTTATCTGTATAATTATAAAGTGGACGATTAAAAAGTAGACCAAAAGAAATAATATCAAAACCAAAACTCGCGGTTTTCCTTGCTCATTTTTAATCGATCTTTATTAATTTATTCGAGAACGAGTTTAAAACAATTTTTTTTGTTAGAAATGTCATTTAACGAATAGCCAGTTTATCATGTCAAGTTGAAACGTTTGCTCATCGTGCCAGTGTCGTTTGCCGAACCACTTAAACGGCTCGCGCTAATTTCCTTCTCCAAAATCTTCCGTGGCTCGTAAAGACACGCCGGCGACGGTGTGATAACACTGATAACGCAAAATACTCGAACGAGATGGTTAAGGCCTAGTCTACAACGTGCTCTTTGCGTCTAGAAACATTATATCTCGTAGTCAATAAATACGCTTAAAAATTTTGCGCAAGCGAATAAATTGTACACCGATAAAAAAATATCTTAATACAAAAAAATATTACTTTACCCAAGAAAATTATTCATTAGGTGACTCCTAATAACTTATTAACTTCAATTTTCAAAATTTCAAAAGAAACTTGGATTTCTTATTTAACAAAAACAATTATTTCATTTAATAAATAGTATTCCGAATCTCGAGAAATCTTTATTTGAATGTAGAAAACGTAACGATTTCAATTAATTTACTTAACACATGCATTTAATTGAAATTTGATTTTTAATTTAAAAATAGAAGAAATATTTTTCAGTAAAAAAATAATTTTAAGTAAATCTATTTACTTGGTTAAAAAAAATTCTTTCGTTAGTGTATGGGCCCAAGCAGAATGGCTGTCTTGTACTCTTAAGACAATGTTTTATATTTTAAATCTTTATCTTAAAGTAACGCACGATAACTGTCTTGCATCTTAAGAATACAAAACAGATATTCTGCTCAAGCCCTATATTATACACCGTACAATCGGCAAAAATTTTTAAGCGTCTTGATTCATTTGTATAGAATGTTTCTAGATACAGACAGCACATTGTAGATTAGGCTTAAGTGGATTAGATGACTCGCCGGCGCGTAGACGGCATACGCCGTCCGCCGTCGTCTTCGAATGGATATTCGTTGTTGCGCAGGTATTGTCAATAACAGGATCGTGACTTTTACGCTCGAGATAACAATATATAGAGAACACGTGCCCACAAATACAGACACATATACAGATCAATATCGCCTCGCTGCGACGTGCCCGAATGTCGAGTGTATTTCTCGCCGTGTAAGCCGCTACTCGCGAAAGTTTTCGACCAAAAATCAACTCTCCGCGTTTCAGAGAATCCCGCGATTGATATTTTTTCATAAGTCACAGACACGCGAGACTCAGGACTCCCTTTGTCAGCGAGACGCGTGTACAAAGGCGCGTTAGTTGTTCTCCTGCCAAGATATTTGCGCGAGTCTCTCAATGACGCTATTTTAGTCGTGTTACGAGCCACGTGTTAATTTCGCCGTCTGAACGTCGAAAGTAAAAATATTTACTTGTGGCTCTTTGTTTTTCAACGGCGACACGTGGCGTCTTCGTCGTTGCGATAAGATTGCGACTGAAAATTGTTTTGGTACGCTGTTTATGCCAATTCGATGGTACGAGGATACATCAAGCCGAATTTATTGTATTGACTAAATTCTATTTTTGATTATACGGAAAGAAGAATTCGTTCCCTTTAATTTAAGAATCCTCTTAAAAATTTTCTTTCAAACACAATTCACATATCATAAACATTTTATAAAAGAATAATTAGTTCTATAAATACATTTTATACTATGAATATACTATACAATTTTTTATAATGTTAACCAATTATGTTTTCCTCCGAACATTCATAATACAAAATTTATTTGTAAACCTAATTATTCTTTTATAAAATGTTTATGGTGTGTGAATTGTATGTCACATGCTCTTACATTAATTTTCACCCACAAAATTGTACAGCAATGTCTGAATTTTCTAATAAACAATTTTTATAACGCAAAATAAGTGAAAAATAAAGAATTCTTATTTTTTATTTTATGTAGATTTTATTTTATATGTAAAAAGTATTGTTCCCATTTAACAATATAACATTATAGGTAATAATAAAACCAAATTAAATTATAAAACGGCTTTTATAAAAAAAAAATATTTCATCGAGCGAGATTCGAACCCGCTACCAAAACTAAACCTCAAGCAGCGAGTGCGGGGGGTGCAGAGCCCTTAGTCTTCGCGCCCACCGTGCTCGCTTACTTATATAAGTCAAAATTCGGTAGTTATAGTACACGTGGTCGCATGCTCTACTTTAACTGCAATTTCTCAAAAACGAAGGCCCATCAACCCTTCTACACTTTTCATAAACTCGGTACCCTCCTTCGAATGGACTATACTCTAATAGCACGAAATATTTTAAAAGATTCAATATATTTTAAATTTCTATTGTTCGATCGCTTTCAACCGGTCTTTTAAAATTCTCTTTGAAACAAACGTAACGTCTTTAAAAGAAACGCAAATTAAAAATGTTAGATCTTGTGCTAAAAGAAGAAATGTTTATAAAAAATCATACTACGTAATTAATTATATTTGAGATGAACGAATTATAATTAAAAGACTAATTTCTCGTAAACAAAAAGAATTGACAGGATGTTCGATCGCTTTCAGCCGGTCGCGCATTCATAAAATTCAAAAGCACGAAGAACTATTTTTTAATCATGATTTCCGATCTAAAGTTTCGTCTACGATCTACGATTCGCCGAAGCGCAATTAAAACGCAGGCAGCGGATCATTCGCCTTTTTCAGCCTTTATCTACGCGACCTCGAGCCGCCCCGGCGCTCGATGACGAGGCGGCGTAAAAAATAGCAGTTCTCCACGTGCGCGGGTCGTCATTCCTCGTCTCTGACTCACGCTTATTTTCCTACCGCGAAGCCCTTCCCGAGAGGTAAAGGGAACGGAAGCAGACTTTATCTCTCGTCGTATACGCGCAGGATAAGCGGAGGAAGACAACGTCGTACGACACTGCGCGCTTGCCCTCGCAAGAGTCCTCACTCGTGTGGACACAAGTGTCCAGTTGAACGGCCGGCTTTGTTGGCCGAGCCGTCAAACTACCCCAGAGAGTATAAGAGTCGGCTATACCTACACGTAGTTTCAAAGTGCCTTACGAATCCCCGCTCGGCTGCTCTGTCGCGGAAAGATTAGAACTTCGGTTAGTACTGCCCGCGATTTCAACCGAGTCTCGTAAAACCTTAATCCGGTTGCGCACAAATCGACATCGGCTTTCGCCAAACTTCTCGGCGACGTCGCTTCGCGATCGTTTACTTTCTAGTTCTCAGCGCAACCAAGTTCCTAAGGTGTAAGAGCGCGCGATCCTCGCCGGGATCGCGAACTTGCTGGAAAAAGACACAAACGAGGATAAAGTCTTACCTGTCCCTCGGGGTGTCCCGGCGCGAGGACGCCAGGGAATGCCTCGCGGACGAGTGTGTGGAATCCCTCTGTGCTTCCCTGAGAAGTCGCAGGTATTCGCGTTCGCCGGTGACGCTGAACGGCGTCGGCGTTATCCGGGCCGCCAGCGGCGGGTCCGGCACCAGCTCCACCCAGGACTCTGCGCAAATAAAAAGGGAATCTGTTATTCCACGCTGGAGCGGTGCTCGGTGCCGCGATCCCGCGGGCTTACGTAAAGCGAGTTCCGATGGTCCGCGCGCAGCATCCGCTCCGCGATGCCCCACGCGATCATAACGCAGCGTTTTCGCACGCGAGGAAAATTTTACCTCGCGAGAGAAACGAGAGGATGACCGCGCGCGCCGGCCGACAGTAATTTTCCCCCCGATTAATTTACCCGCTCGTCTATTTTACTTGCGAGTTTCTTTCAGAGATAATGAAGTCTATGGCTACGGTAGATATCCGGGAAAAAGCGACCCGTCATCTTTGTAATTCTTGAAAGTAGCTTTTGATGGACTTGAAGCGCGCGTCTCTTTAGCGAAAGGCGAGGGGGAAACCACTGACCAAAATCTTGTACACCAGTGGGCATTACTCTATCTTATTTTATCTTTATAATGCCCCAGCAAGACCTAATGCCCAAAAAATGCCTAGTTATGCCCAGTAACCGCAAATGTGTACACCACAATGCCCTTAGCGCTTTCCCCCTCGGCGAAAGGTTTAGCGAGACGTCATCACGTGTCGCTTTTTTTTCATTTTTAAGCAAGTAGTTGAAAGATTTTCAACGTCCTGTTGACAGCAGAAGTACCGAGCGGTCACTTCTGACCATTTCTACTTTTTAGATCAATACTCCGTTTCTTGTACAAACGGTAGGATAATTTCGTCAATCAATTGATTGATGAAACGCCATAAAATTTCCTACATTTTATAAATAGAGTATTGATCTAAAAAATAGAAACGACCGCTCGGTACTTCAAGTGTTAAACTCCAGTTCTAATATATCCCTAAAGTGTTTAGAAATTTTAACGCGCCGATGGTGACACATTCGATATATAATGCACGGAGAATGAATGTCGTTGAACGACATACGCGACGGCACACTGTAACATCTTTAAAAATAGCACCAACGGCTAATCGATCACGGTGACCCCACGAGGTCAAGTTGAAGGGAAACTTCATATGCTTCCCGTAAACGACACAGCGCCCGATTCTCGCAGTATCAATAGTATCAATTGTCAAAGACGTAAGAAATTGAATTATTCCGAAGCGAATGAATAAAATGACGGTTTGGAAAGCGACTATTACGTCTAAGAGATCAGCGCGTTTGAAGAAAACTGCCTTTGCATGTACCGTTATTATCGCGTTCTTTGTGCACCGTATTTCACAATCATTTTTATATACATATTTTTTTATGCAGACGTTCGTGATTCACGCTTTTCACGCGGCCTGTAGCGGATAACAAAAAACGCAGTTGAGCGTAATGCGTTTGCAATAACGCTTTTTCAAGGGCGGTCTCGCCTGTTTTACGTAAGTTAACGCGATATGCAATTAAGACTGCGATACATTTACCCTTCGAAACGATCGTTTCGACAGGACAATTCTTTGCATTGTATGCCAGCAAAATGCTCAGCATACGTAACGAAATAGATGGGGACAAATGACGCGAGTTAATTTCGCTACAAAAATCAAACGAAATCAATATCGGATCTTCTTACCGCGTATTTAATAAAATTAAAATTGAGTTCTATGAGTTTGACAATTAGTTATACTTTGCCAGATGTGCAGGGTGTCCCATTTTAATGTCCCACCCCAAATAACTTTTTTAGTTTTGATTGTAGAACAAAATGTTTCAGACAAAAGTTGCATGGTTTCGAGGGGACCATAAAAATATACCATTTGTTTGACCTTGAAGAGTTATTAATGGAACCTCCTATTGTTTATTATACTATCTTATTCTACTAGTTAATATGAACAACTTTTGTCCGAAATATTTTTTAATTTGCCTAATACTTTTTGAGACATTCAAGAGAAAATTTATAACTTTTTCAACGTTTAGCTTGGACACCCTGTATAAATCGAAATGTTTGAAAGACAAGTATAACCAGCTTAATAATAATGACATAATTAACGCGATGAAACTAGGCAAAAAGTTGAAGCGCGCGGTCTCGAAATATCCGCGATAAATTGCGAGAAGTTAAACTTGTTTATAGAAAGCTCGTTTATTCATCGGTTCTACTGAAAGAGACTTATGTCCAGTTTCACCAATGTCGCTTAACTTTAAGCTCAGTTTAATACGTTCTTTGTCTCTTTCCAACTGTTACTTTAGAAAGAGACAGGCATGAATTAAACTGAGATTAAAGTTAAGCGACGTTCGGTGAAACCGGGCCTTACAAGTTTACTTTGAGAATAAAGGTAAAACGCTATGTGCACAGAGATAGCGCGGTAGTTTCGTAACTATGGAAATAGAGACGCTTTCTTTTGATGCAAAGAGCTTTCGCTTTATAGAAATAATAAAGACTCGTAACTCAATTCGGAAGTGATTACAGGAATATGGGATTCTTAATTCTGATGCGCAGTAACGTCAATGGCATATTAAGTGAGTAGCATGAGTCATCGGTGTTATTTATACTATATATCGCCGAATAATCAGAATACTAATTACTCACATAGCCACTTAAACGAGGTATGTAAGAATTTTAATCGTTTTCTTCCATCGAGAAACCTTTTGTAAACTGCGCGTGCTACCAACATTTCGCTTTAATTGGGAAATAAAAAGAAATCCGATTGTAAGTCGCGCGATATAGGGATCGCAAAATACATCTATATTTTAGTGCACGCCTCTTTCTTTTTCACACCCCGCGGTTCATGACTTCATTTCGCAGGGAGAATTCGTAAAACTGCTTATTAAAATTATCGACTCAAATTTAAAAAATTATTTTAATACGACATATATAACGCATGTCAGAATAAGTATTAAAAGAATTTCAAATAGCAGTTTTATAAAATCTTATTCCCGATAATATTAAAAAAAACATACTCGCGGCATATCGATTCATCTCTTTCACAAGGTTGTATTTAGATTTGACGCAACTTTCGGTTTCTGGTCCGAAATGCGCGTTTAAACAAAAAAATCAGAAATTACGTAACATCGACCTTGCGAAAGAGATTAGTCGACATGCCAGACCAATTAATTTTACATAGTTATCTCCATGCGAATTTACGTTGTTACAACAATAAATAATACTTCATCGAGAGCCGCGTGTGCGAAACGGCGCGATGGAAAGCCCGCGCTTGCAAGTTCCAGTAACACAAATCGTAACGAGAATTATGTCATCGCCGCGAAATCTCGCGGGTTCATCTACCGCCGCTGCGACGAGATTTGCTAATCGCATAACGGATGTGAATTTATACTCCACGCTCCAACGCATCTCTATTTCCATAGTTACGAAACTACCGCGCTATCTCTGCGCACATAGCGTTTCTTATTTTCCTTCGTTTTCAAAGTGTAAACTTGTAAAGTCTCCTTCGTAGAATCGCCGAATAAACGAGCTTTCTATAAAAATAGCTAATACTTAATTAAAATATATTTATATAAATATTAATCATTTTATAGTCTTTATGAAAAAAGATGTTTGCCTTAAATACTTGCCTTAAATAAAATCATAGATATTAATCACTATTTTAAAGAGAAACCAATATAAGTTTTTTAATTAAAAAAAAATTCTTTCATTAAAATTAATACATATTTTTAAAACGAGAACTTCGGAGATACTAAATTTTATATTAATTTTTAGTTTACGCGGAAAACAATATTTTTTTGCTTATCTTATCATTTTTATTAGAGAAGAAGTTTTTGACGAATGTTTCCAGAAAATATCGGTTTTTACCACTGGCGTAAACTTTATTATCCAAAAAATGTGAAATTTTGCCAACCCTGTCTAAAAGTCAAACCGACAAAAACTTGACCGCGTACGCACAAGTAGGTATCGTCCGAGACTCGGTAGGGCGAAAGGAGGATAAGAGCAGGTCCGTCGATTGGGATAATCGGTCGCGATAAATCGTCGTGGTGTTCACGCGGGTCGTCGCGCATCACGTGCAACGCACGTGCAACGTTAGCGTTGCGCGATGACCGCCGCCGCTCTTCCGCTCTTCTAGCCACCGCAAATCATCCGGGCGATAAGGTTCACTTCGAGTTCGTTCACCTATTCGTGATCCATCGCGAGTCACGTTCGCACTTTCGCCCGATTCGACGTCGCAGCGCGTGAGCGGTAAAACAAAAATGCCCCCGAGACTCGCGTGTTCCACGGAAGAGAGGAGAGAGAACTGCGTTCTCTCCCGTAGATTGTTCCAAACAATTTCGTGCAAAAGTCACCCACAGCGACGTCCATTATACATATTGGTTTTCCGTACGCGGGGTCAACGTCTCTCGTCGGCGAAACGTATGTAAATGCGTGGGGGATCGAACAGTGAATTCGTTGACGCGCACGAGCTTTCCGGAAATCGTACGATCTGTCGAGCGATCCTTGGAGACAATTCTGTATCTTAGTCCTAGTCTGCAATAGATGATCTAAGCGCTAAGCCCTAAGAAATTGAGCAATTACAGTCGAAAATAAGAAGAATATTCGACCGTGATTGGTCAATTTTTTAGGGCTTACGGCTAAAATCACCTATTGTAGACTGGGACTTAACATTATGGTAAAAATGCTAAAAGTGCAAGTGGTCTAACCGCATTCGGCAACAGGGGTACAAATTTTAGGCAATAAACGGCATTAACGAGGCAATAACTTAGGCAATACTGAAATGAAGTAACTTAGGCAATACTGAAAATGAGTTTCGTTTAACAAAAAGTTTCATAATTCCGAACTGTTCTAAACGAAATAAGTATCTACATAGACAATGTAGGACATAAAGATAATAACTGCAGACGTTTATTGCCATTTTCGACAATAGATGTACACTTTTCGAGGCGCGATGAACCCCTTGTAAAAGCGAGTAGCCTTGCCTCTTTCTAAAGGCCTGTGTCCACGATGCTAGAGCTTAGACCAAGTTCTAATTCCGAGAAATGCGCAGTCAATCAACTTGTAGCTATTTCATAAAAGCTGCAAGTATGATTGGCTACGCATTTCTCGGAACTAGAGCTTGAACCCAGTTCTAGCACCGTGGACG